GTGAGCATATTCTATTAGGTTTTTGGGTAGTTTTGTCGAGTTTGAAGTTGGGCGTGGCTGGAGATCCTGAAAGAGTGTCCAAGAACTTGTGAAAAGACTTTAGGATGCGTTCTTGTATTGATTCAATTCGCAATCCTCTGAAGTGGTTTGTTGGTAATAAACCAGGGAGCATGAGTTCTTTCTTAAACATTTATTTTGAATGATTTGTAGTTTTTCAATGGGTGTTTTTCCTACGTTACACCAAATTGGGCTAGCATACGTGATTGGGGTTGTAATATCGATTTATAAATTTTTGTCCCACATTCAATGCTTACAGTTGATTTATTTTAGAAGAGGATAAGGTTTAGCAATTTTGCGTACGTTTTGTATGAAACTGTTTCGATGTAGTCTTTCCAAGTTGATTTTGCATCAGGCATGTGTCCTAAATATTTAACTGCCTTTAGTTTGAGAAGCCATTTTATTATTGAATTTTGAATTTTGAGGTGGGGAGGGTTAGGTGGTCTTAAAAATGTGAAGATTTCTGCTTGAGATTTGTGCGAGAATATTTTGATTCTCCACTGTTCAGACCAGGTGATTTGTTAGTCGTTCTGAAGGTCGTCGTAAGCACAGAGTATATCCTCGTGAGCTGTCAATAAAGCGGTATCGTCAGCAAAGAGGGAGATTTCCGAGTTAGATGCTTTTGGGATATCCGATAAGTACATGCTGAAAAGTAAAGGTGATAGGCATGATCCGTGAGGGACATCAGCTGGAGTTTGGCATTGAATAGAATAAGTAGAATTGGTTCTTATCAGGAAATGGCTACCTGCTAGAAAGCTGTCGATAATTTAGAGGTAATAGAGGTAGTTTGATAAACACAGACGTTGTAGTTTAAATAGTAACCCTGGGTGCCACATTTTGTCAAAGGCCTATTCAATGTCTAGAAATATTGCTAAGGTGTGTTTGTGTTGATGGGAAACATTAGCCATGAATTCTGAAAGTCTCCAAGAGTTGGTGCGTTGTTGAGTATTTTTCTAAATCCCAATTGAGTATTAGGTATAGCCTTTATTTCTGTAACATATTTATTTATACTTGTATGTATGTTTGCTTCTCCAATAATTTGCCAAGCGTTGTAAGTAAACTTATCGGTCTATAATTGGATGGATTTTGGGGGTCTTTCCCTGGTTTGTTGAACGGGAGGATAATAGTGGTTTTCCAATATTTAGGAAAATGGCGTAATATTAATGCCGAATTGTAAATGGGTGTTAAGGCCACGATTGACTTACTGCCGCGATACTAGTATGGCTACACCTCCTGAAGCTACTTTTGAGGTTCTATCGTTTCTGCATGTACATAATGCCATGTTTGTAACATGGCATTATAAATTCTGGTTTCTGTAACACACGCAATGTTTTTTGTGGTAATGAAAAAATTGTTCAACTTATCTCTGCTTTCTTTAAATACCATTAGCGTTCCAATATAATTTCATTTCTTGTATTTTATTTGCCATTTTGAAGAACTAGCATTAATGACTGTACTAGGTTTTTGATTTGGGGTATTATAGTTAATATTATTTGATTTACTATTGTTTTCGAGTGATAATGTGTGAGAGAGAGATGTATAATCGCATAGGACGTCTTTTATTCGCGATCTCTTACCGCAACCCGTCAACCATATATATATATATATATATATATATATATATATATATATATATATATGATCACAACAAAAACTTCGGAAATAAATTTTGTTCTACCGCGTGCAGATCACATTCAGAACTAAAAATGAATTGCATAATTTCTCAACAGCCAAGACCGCTTTTCTCGAAAGCGTAAAGTTTATGAACGATTGAACGTTTCTCTTCATACTTAAGTTTGCCTTTTTACACATTCCTTAGGCCTCACTATCATTTGATTTAAGAAAATACATTTTGTTAAAAAATACTATTTATCATGGGCTTTCAAGGAGAGGGCAGGTGGGCATTTATCTTTTTGCCCTATTTCCCCTATTAAGTAATTATTTCAGGATGCATTTTTTGATTCCACTCTCGAAATTATGAACAAAAAGTTTTAATGTCATAGAATATGAAAAAAACCTTACGTATATAATATATTTAAATAACAAATAAAGAAAATAAAAAGAGAAGTGTTTTTAATCCTCTTTCCGTTTCAAAAATTGCGATGTTATTGGAATTTCGTCAATAATTTTGGAACGCAGTAGGTTCCGGTACGCGTCAAGATCGTGCCGGCCTGTGGTGAATGGTCGTTCTCTGCGTTCTTGCTATGGGTAGAGGTGGCGGCGGGTGGCAGGAACGGGCACGATAGTGTTCGCAGCTCATTGTGATCCGTTGTGTGTATCGGTTGTACTGTAGTTGAGCTAGAATTTGTAATTGAGTGACTGTGCAGTTGATATTCTAATTAAATCGAGTAAATAACTTTCACATTGTGGATTATCGAGCTAAAGAATGAGAATCTACCAAGATGTTCACAAACAGATTTTGGCTACATCGATATTTTGCCTTCCTAGCACTCATATTGGACTCGTTTATGCAGGAAACGATACCCATCCTGTTGGTGAGTAAGATTTTATCCATGTCGAGCATATTACTCTCTTGTTGAAGTGCCTTTATTGTTTTTTATCCGATATTACTAGTTGTTGGTGTTATAATGTAATTTTGCAAGCTCTTTGAGCAATGAATAGATTTTCAGATAATCCTATACTTTACTACTTAGTTTTACTGCACTCAAAATACTGATTGTGAGTCTAAACTTAAACTTTATTCCCAATGAAATTAATATGGTTAAGACATTACCTTGAAAAGAAGATACGGTGCAAGCGCAAAGTTGCGCCCTTAAATCATACGGTAACACGAATAGCTGTATTTCGTAATTTTAGGCTTAAGTTTCGCGAATTAGAATTAAGTTTCCAAAAGGTTGATAGTGATTGTAATAAATTTTGCTTGTTTTTGCAGATAAATTAAAAAGAGTAACTGTTGGGCCTGACCCACTACTACAATCAACACCAGTTCCTGTAACTACACCAGCGCCTACAAATGCTACCTCTAAAACCGCAGAAACGACTACATCAAGAACTACCAGTACTTCTGTTACTACTACTTCTACTGCTGCTACTAATACTACTACTACTCAGCAACCTACTACAAAACCTGACACTACTACTCCACCTTCTACAACCCTCACAAACATACCTACTACTCCTCAAACTACTACTCCCTCCAATACTTCCACACTCACAACATCCACCACTTCTCCTCCTGTAACTTCAAGTACTGAACCTTCATCAACTACCAAACGACCATTTTCTACTGTGACTCCAGTCCCTAATCCTACAGCACCCACAAATACTACCTCTGAAACCCCAGAAACGACTACCAGTACTACTACTCAGAAGCCCACTACAAAACCTGACACAACCACTCCACCTCCTACGACCACCACAAACATACCTACCACTACTACTTCTCAAAGTACTACTGCTCCCTCCAATACTTCCACAACCACAACATCCACCACATCTCCTCCTGTAACTTCAAGTACTGAACCTTCGACTACCAAACAACCTGTTTCAACTGTGAGTCCAGTCCCTCGTCCTACAGCTGAGCCGTCCAATGTTCGGCGATTTGATCAACTTAGCTTTTTTGGTGAGTAGCATTATTGTTAAAAATTGTAAAAATAGCATATTTTTAGAGATAATGTGGGAACTGTGATGCAGTAGGTACTAATCCATATTCTGTGCATCATTAATCATAGCATTGTAATATTACACTATCCTTTAAATCCCGTTTGTTTGGCAGTGTTTAACATGTTCGATGGTATCACCTTCTGAATTGGCAAACTGTCTAAAAATTCACTCTTTAGTGATATTAAAATTATTCTTCAGTATCATAAGTTAAAATAAATTGAGTAATGTTTTCAGTATCAAATTGAAGGAAATGCTCTGCTTTTAATTGACTGGGAGATGAAACAGCTGCGTAAAAATTAATGTAGTACAATAAAATTATATTTAACTTGGATGATTTTGATTTGCTGTGGAGAACACCAGGTCATCAATGCTTAGTACAGAATGTAATTTTCGCCTTCGAGTTTAGTTTGAAATGTAACTTACTATTCATTTGAATTTCAGTACTCTACATTTTATTGCTAGATATCTCCATTCGAAACTTGGCAGTTTTTTTTCGTATTAGTTTAATCTAGAATGGACCTGAAGAATTGTTCTTTAAATTTTGCAATGTTGTATTTGTAATCCAATAATTTAATTATTGTAGTTTGTAACATACTGAACAATAACTAGTATCACCAGCAAATATTCATAGTTGTCACAATTGGTAATCCTGTTTAATTTCTTCATAAAATTGGACAGATATTATTCGAACTAATGGAGATCTGGTGTAGTTTACATATTTGATTATTCGGATAACCGTTCATAAAAATGGCAAATGAACCTAAAATGCTGTATGTATATAGTTTAAGGGAATGTACCATTAAAATACTGCACTGCTCATACAAATCGTGTTAATAATACACACGGAAGTCATATAGCATATAGTACCTTATTTCTTAATTTGTTTTTTTGTGCCGAAAGGTAATGGATAGCGTATTTCTGTTACTGATAAACGTTCAATATATGTTAAAAATTTATTGTAGAATTTGTTGAATTTTCTTAAAGTCGGTTCATGGTAATAAATACTATAGTACAGGATCTCGTTAATATTCCATAGCTATAAAAGATATATGGATAATGTTCAAAATCCAGTATTACAAAAAAAATATATGCATACAGTCTACAGTACCTAAAAGAAATATTTATTCAGACAAAATAGGAGTTCAGATGATCTCTCATTATATTTTATGGTTAGAATTTTGTGTTCGCTTTGCCGCATTCTAAAACGGTAGTAGTTTCAATTTGATGTTTTATCTCCTTTATTCCACTTTTGGTGGAACAGAATCTTGTTTGAATCTGGCAATCGATACTACTCTTCAATGGTGTCTTAATGACTTTGGAAAATGATCTGAACTGTAGTGAATTGTATAGTTGTTAAAAAAAGTTTCTTTGCCAAATCAGGTAGTCTTTTCATTAGCTTCAAAATCATCTTGTTTTTAATAACTATTGTTTCATTTTAGGTGGCATTGTGCTGTCTGTGGGAATTATGGCTATTGCCTTTGTGTCATGGAAGTTCTACAAGGCTCGCTCTGCGAGAAATTACCAGACCTTATAAATTCACCTTCAGTGATATGAAGATAACGCCAACTAAAAGGTTTAAACCGTAACTTGGTATTGAAATCAAAATGTTTGGTAAGCAGTTGGCACAATCTGCTTATGGGATGAAAAGGAATGCCTTAAGCAAAAAAAAAATTCATAAATTATTCATTGTTTGTGAAGTTATTGTTTTTATTTTGTGATGTTAGAAAATAAACTTGTACATATTTTGCTGATTGCCTCTGCAAATCGGGGTAGTGTATGTTCATCTGTTACTGATCTGTCCAGTAATGAAAGGATGTTACCAAATTGATTTGCATGAAATGTTTAATGGAATCTAAATGGAAAAAGAGGGATGGAAAATATTTCAGGGGAACTGAAATGCGAAGTTTCAAATTTCTCGTTTACCTCCTTTCATTAGCAATGAGGAACGGTATTCCTAATATTCTCAATTTAGAGTTGAAGGTTAGTCAATGTCAAATATGCTGTGATAAGAATCTAAGTAGATGTTTAATATGTATAAATTAAACGTAAGGCAGGCCATAGGTTTCATAATAAAGGTGACCTTTAGCAATATCATAAATCAAGGTAATATAAATGTTTTTCTGATGGAAACTTGATGTATGTGCTGCAACTTGAACAGGAGCTAATGAATAACATTCGGAAATTACTTTTTTGCAAAATTTAAATTTTATTTCTGTATTTGTTTCACATAGAACTGTATAGGATTTAAATTCTTGTTAGTAAACCATTTTAATCTAAAAATCTTTGGCTCATGTTTGTGGAGTTTCTCTTTTTTTCCATTGCATAGAAAGTTTCCAGTTTTGTAGTTTTTAAATTTTTTTTCGTTGTTAAAAAAATTTAAAAGCTACATAAAACGATAAAATTACGGTTGTGTATGAAAGCTTAATTGATTAAAAATGTACTCTAGATATCAAAAACTACGAGGACAATGTTTTTGTGATGGCAGAACAGACTTTTCGGAAATTGTAGTGGGCTATGTAACGAATGGTACTTTGAAGTGTAAATAATCTCGCAAAATGTGCAAAGCAACTTAAGGAAATTCACAATGGCATTTTAAGATTCTGAAGATAATCTAATGTTCACATAGTATATTACACTTTGTTCATTGCTTTACGTAATCGTGCACCAACCGTGATAAGAATAGTTTTACATTTAACATAGCACTATTTCTTTAGAAAGCAAAAGTTTTACACCTGAGAAAGTGCGAATCAAAATCAAAATTAAGATTTTTACTTTGTGGTGCAATTTTTTAAAGTTAGGTCCATGAAGTGACATTACGATTAAATCTAATTATCCCAAGTTTGAAAAAAAACAACAAAAATTCACTTTAGATTCTTTGTACAGTGCAATCTTTGGGCCTGTTAATGAAGGTTATGTAGTTATAACAGCAAGGGAGACTAAGGTCGTGGAAACAAGTGCTCTTAGCGTGTTGCGTGAGTGAGTGTTGGTGTGGCAAAAAAAGAGATGGAGTATTTGTGTCAGGAACAACTGTTGCCCTTGATTGGTTCTATTTTAATAAGGAAAAACAAATGGTTTGTAGTATCAGGGAAATGGGGTTATTGTAAACTAATTATATTATGATTATTATAATTGAGGATTAGTATTTTCAATATCTACACTGTACCCACCTAATATTAATATTGTCATGTCTACGTATATTGCAATACACCAATACTTATTGCTGTTATTTTGTATTACATGTTGGGCAGAAATAATTGTGATGATTGTATGGATAGGAAGAGTGAACAATTTGTTTGTTTTGTTATTTTTTAAGTGTGAAGAGGCAACCAAAGAGGCATATATTTTTTTAACATTCAGTTATTTTGTATTGATTCTTTTCTTTCTCTACTTGGCTTAGAACATTCAGTTTATATTAGGTCTTTCAGTAATATAATTGCAAGAAATTACAAAGGCTCTAAGAAAATGAATTTAGTGCTATTTAGTTCCAGAGTTATAATGCACATAAACAGAAACTCTTCTGTTTAATACAAGATCTGATGAGGTTGTGGAGAGAAATTTGCATTTTTTTATGTGCATTTGAGAAGTTTAAATGTAATTAGGCTAATGTGATGCATTTTTTCAATCTTCACAAACCTGAATCTGTGTTAAACACGTTCAATTAATATAAAATAAATATGATATAAAACTAAGCTGAAGCATATATTTGGGCCTGGTGTTCATAAACGTTTTTGCTCATTCGCTTTTTTTGTGCCGGTTAATAACTTTCATTGTGATGGTTTTGTATCATTGCAAACAAGGTTAATTCGTAGATGTAACTTTGTCAACAAGAAAAAATCAATCTGTACTTAAAATTCCCAGTCAATAAATATGATCTTATTATTCTTATGAATCCATCCATAATAGGGAGGGGTTTCAAAACGTTCATTGGAACTAATTTTTGCAAGTAATGTAATGTTCTGACAACTTAATTGCATATATTTTCATGATATAACCTGCTCTGAAGTGCTGTTCATAAAATCAGTGTAACAAGAATTTGCCAATAAATGTTTTTCTCTTGTATTTTATTTACTTTTTTAAAAACTCACCTGATGACTTAAGAGGCACACACAATTCTTAGAATTGAAGGGGCTAGTGTTACGTAACTACCGATTCCTCCGCCTCCACGCTTTCTTCACTTCTACTAATGGGGGGCTGCATTTGATCCTGACCAATTTAGTGGAAATTTGTTGTGAGCAAAGAGAGTTTTAGCGGGTTTTCTGTATTAAGTCTCCTTTACTTCTCATCCCACCATGTCTCCATAATTCACTTTATCATTGAAACTGTATCACATGCACACTGTCATTGTAAAATAATGTACCATGAAATGTCCAATTCTGTACATTGTTATGTCAACAGTAAGAATATATAAAATATATGTAGTCGGATATGTGTAACATTAAAATGTACATAATACGAAATTTCATTTATAAAATATCCTTAAGGTTTTTTTAAAATAACGAACGTTTTAAAAATCATTTAGGCAGCTTGTTGATGCACTCTCGCACATACAACTGTCTGGTCTGTAGTAGAGATTCTATTGCTATCGAGGACCGTATTTAGTAGCCAGTAAATACGTGGGTTTAAATTTCTTGGCGCGTGAGGGCATGTCTTGAGATGTCACGAGATTACGCGTCTTACTTGGTCGTGCCGTGAGAGGTTTATTCCATTGTGAAGACGCCCTCAAGCGTCAAAAAAAACCTAAGTATAAACTTTAAAGAAGCCGTTGTACTAACTGGCGACGTATGTGAGCAGCGGATTGTTTTTAGGCATTTTCATACCATTTCCACCGTTCCTCCTAATAACTCACCTTTTGCAGGAAGGACCAGTTCCTGTTTCGATGGGGCAGGTACAGCTAGTTTTGTCCAAAAAATGGTAATTTTAGGGATTGTTGCCATTACTCAGGAAAATCATAAACCCACTTGGATTTGGTACATAAATTAAACTATGCAAATGGTACAAAGAAAATTCGGTTGGTAGAATTGCAATGCCTCGTGAAGGCATAAATCGTGGAAATAGATGAATACAGTGAATCGCTAGGAAAACTTTGATACTGGCAGTTTGTGAATATGGCATAAGTAAATATTAAGTGAATATTGAAATCACAGTAGAATTAGCACGTAATGCAGTAGCAAAAGACAACGTGATTGGTAAGTTCGACTTTTCGAGGTGACGACGAGACTGCGGATGTGGCTGACTCAAAGGCCAGCGGAGGAGACCCGCAGGCTGCGATGAGCACTGCGACGGCGATCGAACCTGCAGCGATGCATGATTGTTGCTTCCGTGAGACTGGCGGACTCGCTATGTCCTTGAAAACATTCACCACAGAGAAGGGTCACCTGGAAGAATTTGGCCTCCAGACTTGATTATTTATATAGTACAGTTTTGTTTGAGATTGTTGTACATCCTCACGATTTTCAATTCCTTTTCCATAATCATTTATCTACAAAATGATTTTGTCATTTCATGAATGCAAGCTGTCTGTGAATTCTCAGATATTATTTTCATCCTTTGGATTTCCCTTAGTTGCAAAGCTGCGTAACGCCTGTCGGTGAACAATTTAACATACTGCAGTTCTTTCGCATACACTAAACACATCGCCGTTGTTACTGTATTTACAAAAGGAAACCTTTCTCCCCAAACCGAAAGAAAATTAACAGATATAGATGGTCTCCCACTCATGTTCCCTGAAATATCGACAAAGGCCTACTGCTTTCGTTATCGGCGACCGCCGTCTACCCCTCCATCCCGCCCCCCTTCTCCGACCTGGCCTTCGGGGAGGAGAAAGGATCTTCGACGTCATTTCTCCGCCAGTTGGCAAACGCTGCTCGACCGGTCTCCCGGCTTGTTTTATATATGTGCGTAAAGTTAGCAAACCCACTTATCACAATTTAAAAAAAATATATCCCAGAATTTGGTTATAATTAAAGACTAATTTATACCCAAATTTAAAAATTATCTACTAATGCACAACATCGAAATATTCAACACTAAATGTGGGTTCTCTAACTTAACGTTAAGTTAGCATACCCACACAAGAAAAACGCATGATACATAAAAACTAAATGTACCATAATTTTGTTCTAATTAAGCTATTCGCATGATTGATGAAACTTTACTTCGTGTGCAGCAAATTTCTCTCGCATGTTAATGCCTATTTGATAGCATAGAAATGTTTCTCTCACCATATTCTATAGAATGAGATATTCTTGGATATTCCATTAAATTTTTACAGGTTCGGCACATATCGATACCACTAATGCCTGCTATATTTCAAACTTTGGCAAACCTTGGGACGTCACACCTAGAAGGCTTAGATTCCTTTATCTTATACTATTTGCTCGTTCTGTGTACACTGTGGTTTGCGCAGACTGACGACATTTATTTGCATAATTATTCATTCAAAATTCGCTCTCGCAGCAACAGTTATAAGTTTTTGTCGAGGTCTGCAAGTGCTGTGTACGTAATTGTGGAGGAATATGGGTGTACAGTGAAGAACGAACACATGTCCTCTTAGTTCTGGATTGCGATTTTCCTGTACCAGTATTTTCGTTATCAGCAGCAATATGGTGAAATATTTGTAAGTCAGCGAGTTCAGCCACGTAGCTTTCTCAAGTGTGAAAAGATTTATTATTATATTTGTGACTATCACGAAAAAAGCTAACTATCAAACAACAATGAGTAATTACTTCAAATATTTTCAATAAAGTGTGAATTGGTCCACGAAATCTCAGGATAATACTGAATAAATATTTATTGAAAATTTCTTTTCAACATAAATTGCAGAGTTTTTACTCTCTTGTACATACGTACATATGGAGTAATATACGTAATATAGGGAAAGTTGTGTAATGCGGCGCGAAACTAGTAGTGCTAAAACAACACATACTTTCTCGCATTTAGTGACAGTTACGTAATACTTTTTGCACTAGTTATGTAATACATTTTTTTAAATACATTATAAAATTGGAATGATTGGAATTTTAGCTATTTCTTTTCCTTTACATGAAGCCCCTGGGACATTTTAAAAAAATAGCTCCAACGTTTTTGATTAAATTTTATTGTTTAATAGTCATCATCATCCTAAAGGCATTGTTCCTTGCCGCTGCCTCAATAACATTCTGTCCTCCACTGTCCTTTTGGTAT